GCAAAAGAAGGCCAAGCTAAAAATAGAGCTAAACCATCATCTTCTGTAATATCAGCCTAATGTTGACAGATAGTCCACCTTCTGCTGGATCCTTCTTCCTTCCACATAGGAAAGATTCTAACAGATGTGAGCAGCAGTGAGACTGCAATAAGTGTGATTAAGGGACAGGTGAAGCTGGAGCTCTGCTATAGGATATCTGTTTTATTAATAGTGGTCGCTACCATCTAAAATGTAGCCTAGAAAGAGCATACATAGAGTACAAAAAGAAGTTACCTGCCATGCTTTCTAGCAGTTTATCTTCAAAAATGTTTTTGGCAGTATTTAAACTAGATGTGGCATCCCTGTACTACCCAACAGAGAACTGCATAAACAGAACAAGGTCAAAGCCATGGCCAGCGAACTTTGAATCAAGTACTGATGCTACAAATTAACCCCCATGGCAGTAAATGCCACAATGACAATTGTATTCCTTTGCATTTGATCTATATTTATTGCTTTTTAACTTCATCTAACTGTCATTAGGTCCTTCTCTGTCCTTCCTTAAATCAGAACCTTTCAATATACATATCAGGAGACAGTATAAGTGATAACTAGATTTTCATTTCTAAGCTTATTTTTCCAGACTGAAATCTCATTTTTTAAATAACTGAATCAGTGCTGAACAAATGCAGTGTAATTTAGTCATACAAAGCTTAGCATAAACATTAGACATACTACCCAAAATAATAAGCAGTAGTAAAGAGATTTTTCTTCTGGTAATACAGTGAAACAAGTATTTTAGTTACTTATACTCCCCCTTTCCACCCATACCATAATGCAGTAAGCAATTAACCACTTTGTTTATAAAATGTTTTATGTTGGCTTAAACTAAAAGACTTTCTAACAGTATTTTAGTTTAAAAGTATAGTAGTATTACAATGAATTGGAGAAAAAAAAATCCAGTAAGAGCTACAGAACTGCTTATGCAGACCTGAGACCAAGAATTTTCTTAAGAGCATGTATATGTTGTCCATGTATTCCTGCTTTAAAGTTTGTAATCCATAATACACCTCTGCAGAATTAATCTCATAGATATGACTCACTCTGTATTATATATATAAAATACTTAGGCTTTGTTTTATTTCTCCTCCAGAGATGTTAGAAAGAAATTCTATTTTGTTTTAGTTATTGCCTCTAGCAATATATATGTAAGTGGTAAGAATTAATAAAAGTAGGTTCCAAACCTATAAAGAAGAATTATTAGGGTACTTTCTCCTATTTTAGCAATATCAAGAAATAAATTCCCCTAACACACGTTAGTTTACAATCTACCCTCACTACAAAACCCAAATGTATATTTTCTACATCTTTATATAATTTCTTCCATTTGATAGGACGCTGGGTAAAAAGCAGTTTTCCTCTCAGAGAGCAAGATACTAATAATGCATGACAGATTGCTGCCTCAGGAATGCTAGGCTTCTTGCTTACCTTGAGGCAGACTGCAGAACCCTTGAGGAATCATCTGACATTGACAGCCTTGTGATTGGTAACCCATTCAAGTGGTGTTTTAAGGACATTAGAAGGCTACAGGAAGGCAGACTCAGCATTAACCTAGCTTCCTCAAGCCAAAACTTAGGGTGAACAGTGTCTACAATATAGACATTGCACTACCAACGTTGGTCACTGTAGTGATCAACAGTTTGTTCCTAGTGAAAAATTGTTCCTTAGAAAGTATGAGGACATGAAAGGAAAAATGAACCCATGCTTAATTGCTCATTTATTTCACTCAGAGGCTATGAGGAAAGATCATAATGAAGTTTGTCTCCCATCCTGCTCAAAAAAAATGCAGAGGTTTGGGAACAGAGGCTGAACAGCCTTCAGCACATGAGTGACAGGGACCCTGTGTCTCTCCTGATGAAGGGAGACGGAGGCCCAAAGGAGTATATTTCACAAAGATACAAGCCGGATACAGCTTGGGAGGAAAAACAAAAAGAAACTAAATCCCTTAATAGAAATTGTATTTACTTGGGAGCCCGGGGTAGAGGGGTGTGTGTGTGGGGGTAAACACATACAGAAGAGAGAAGAAAAGAAGAGAGAAGAAAAGAAGAGAGAAGAAAAGAAGAGAGAAGAAAAGAAGAGAGAAGAAAAGAAGAGAGAAGAAAAGAAGAGAGAAGAAAAGAAGAGAGAAGAAAAGAAGAGAGAAGAAAAGAAGAGAGAAGAAAAGAAGAGAGAAGAAAAGAAGAGAGAAGAAAAGAAGAGAGAAGAAAAGAAGAGAGAAGAAAAGAAGAGAGAAGAAAAGAAGAGAGAAGAAAAGAAGAGAGAAGAAAAGAAGAGAGAAGAAAAGAAGAGAGAAGAAAAGAAGAGAGAAGAAAAGAAGAGAGAAGAAAAGAAGAGAGAAGAAAAGAAGAGAGAAGAAAAGAAGAGAGAAGAAAAGAAGAGAGAAGAAAAGAAGAGAGAAGAAAAGAAGAGAGAAGAAAAGAAGAGAGAAGAAAAGAAGAGAGAAGAAAAGAAGAGAGAAGAAAAGAAGAGAGAAGAAAAGAAGAGAGAAGAAAAGAAGAGAGAAGAAAAGAAGAGAGAAGAAAAGAAGAGAGAAGAAAAGAAGAGAGAAGAAAAGAAGAGAGAAGAAAAGAAGAGAGAAGAAAAGAAGAGAGAAGAAAAGAAGAGAGAAGAAAAGAAGAGAGAAGAAAAGAAGAGAGAAGAAAAGAAGAGAGAAGAAAAGAAGAGAGAAGAAAAGAAGAGAGAAGAAAAGAAGAGAGAAGAAAAGAAGAGAGAAGAAAAGAAGAGAGAAGAAAAGAAGAGAGAAGAAAAGAAGAGAGAAGAAAAGAAGAGAGAAGAAAAGAAGAAAAGAAGAAAAGAAGAAAAGAAGAAAAGAAGAAAAGAAGAAAAGAAGAAAAGAAGAAAGGAAGAAAGGAAGAAAAGAAGAAAGAAGAAAAGAAGAAAGAAGAAAAGAAGAAAGAAAAGAGGTTTGTTACAGATTTGATGACCGCTTCTATGTTATCATAGTATTGTGCTTTTCCTATTCTACAGGAGAAGCAGTATCCATAAGCAGAAAAGCTGTAAGTTTTGTAGGAGACCACAACTTTCTCTCTCAGCCAGCAGCTCAGCATTGGCTTAGTTACAACTCCTCCTTGTGAGGCATGTTCTCCAAGATCTGGGCTAGCTTCCAATCACCTGCAGGCTGTAATTCAAGGCATTGTTTTATGAAGATCTAATTTGTTTGCACCTTAGTGATAAGAAACCACTGAGATTAGTGAAGTCATCAGTCCCTCAGTGAAATTAGCCTCCTTTAAATGAAAGCTGTTTCGTTTCCTTAGCCCAAAACAATTCAAGGCAGTCAAACTTCTGCATTTTATAACATGCATTTTCACAAAATGTGCTAGGTTGGAGGTTTAGAAAGCTTAGATATTAAATACTATTGAAGATTAAATTAAGAACACCCAAGCATCTTGCAAAACGCACTTCTGCATTATCATGCCTCCACTGAAAGCATTCTGTACTACTACGTATACGAATACCCCTCCCCGAGTCCAGGGACTACCAGCAGGCTCGTGGCTCTCCCAAACTGCCTGCTTGCTCCAACAGCGATCTTGCCAGATACAGCTAGATGGCACACTGCAGCCTTGGTGAAGGAAAGCAAATGCTGCTCAGTTCTTGGCCAGAGAAGTTAGTGGCACAGAGTTTGGAAGCTCCAGTGGAGGCAGCAGCCAACCTCCCTGCTGTACTTACCTGCAGTCTGGGGTGGACAACCGGGATTTCACATGAACGCTAAGAGCTGGCAAAGGGAGAACACTGCACTCTGGCCCGTGCACTGCTCATCCAGATCTGCCCCACACACGGCACTGAGGGCTCAGCAAGCCTTGCTGGGCTCCCACTTTGGGCAGAAAGCTCTGCTCTCAGCCCGGCGCTGGGGATCAGTCCGGCTTTGGTGATGGCCATGCAGCTTCCCCCTGCACGTGCTGCTCAGACACCCTCTTTGCTTTCCAGACCTGCAACATTTCTGTTTCAAGTTAGACATGACCAGAGTGGTTCCTTTGTTGTTTCCATGAGGCGGTCTCGCTAGCAACCCTATTAAGAGTCATTGACAATTTCCCAGAACACAGTTTTTCCTCTTGCCCTGTTACAGAGCCTTTCCATACCCTGTGAAAGCAGGTTCTGGTGAGGCGGCAGCACCTGCTGCCTGCACATGGAGGAAGGCGGCGGTAAACAAACGAGCAGCGGGAGCGCCCTCTGCACGCGCTGCAGGAGAGGCGAGGCTGCCTGGACAAGCTGCCCACGGGGAAGTTTGAGAGTGAGCGCTGGGCTGCGAGGGGAACGACAGCCGCAGGAGGGGCCGAGCCCGGGGCCCCCCCGCGCCCCCCGGCCCC